TAGCGCACACACTCTGAGCATGCGTGCAGGTCTCGGCACTCTTCAGCTCTGAGCAGTACTCCGGCTCTCCTCAGCACACATCCGCATTCACTCTCTGCTTCCCTTGTTTTGTTTTTATGTTCAGCCACTCAAATGATGATGACCACACCTACAGGACCAGAGGCAAAGTACACATCGTATATATACACACATATCACATAACACATATACCCTCTGATGATAATGAATGGCTCTCAGGATCTCCTGAATCAGGGGTTTTGTTAGACTGTAGATCAGGTAAAGGCACAGTGTGTACGACTTACACATTACAACCTCCAGAAGCCACTAGAGCAGAGCTGTGTGTTGCTGACTTCTGTACATAAATCATCCCAAATGTTCTACAGAATGCTCAAATGCAGAGAAATCATCAGTTTGAGCTGGTGTTCAGAGTGTGTGAGTGTGAGTTGATGCTAACACATCACACACCCTTTGTTTGTGACCATAACTAAAGACCATAACCCTTGTTTGTGTTGAATAGACGCCCTCTAGTGGAGGAAATACACACTGTGCTTTTAGAGCAGGGATCACTAAACTTGTTCCTGGAGGGCCGGTGTCCTGCAGATTTTAGCTCCAACCCTAATCAAACACACCTGAACAAGCTGATCAAGCTCTTACTAGGTATACTTGAAACATGCAGGCTGGTGTTTTGAGGCAAGTTGGAGGGCAATGGACCCTGAAGGTCACCGGCCCTCCAGGAACGAGATTGGTGACCCCTGCTTTAGAATGTAGGGATCAGTGTTGTTTACAGCAGTAGTCTTGACTGTAGTGTGTGTTCAGTGTTTTCAGAGTGTGTCGTGTCTGTGTGTGTGTGTTATGCTGTGTTCACACCAGACGCGGAACGCACGGATAAATCGCGATATTCGCGTGTAAATAGCTGCGTGAACATTTGAGTTTACTCGCTTCATTCGCGTGTCAAACCCCGCTTCATTCACTTGTCAGATTCACTTCAGAACAGACGCGGATTGGCATGATGGGCAGGGCTTCTGTCTGCCCGGTGACTCTAGCTTCATAGCTAAATGGCTAACATGGATTTTATGAAGAAAATAACAGTGTTTATGTGCTTTCTGAAGGATGATAACAGCATCGATACGTTTAGGGTCGTGTCTGAGTCCACTACATGCTTTCAGAGGTGCAGCAGCTCTGTGAGCTCATAAACTCCTCCAGAAACTGAACCTGTATGATGAAGGCTTTCAGCGGTGCTTCTGACTGAGCCCAGCCCAGTTTGATGACTTGTCGGTGTCGCCTGGAGGATTTTCCCCCGGGACACCATCAACAGGTTCTACGTCACAATCACGCCCCCACAAGAGCAAGCTTCTGATTGGTTAACGCGGCGCGAATGTCCGCTGAAGTTCAGATTTTCGAACTCGAGAGGTTTGCGCAAAACGCTCGTTAAGCGCGTCAAACGCGCAAAACGCTCAATTCGCCCCGTGCCATTCATGCAATTCACGTCATTCGCGTGTATCACGCCGAAGGATGTCTATTCGCGCATTTGCATTGACTAAACATGTAAATCACTCGCGATTGACGAGCGTTCCGCTTCTGGTGTGAACGCAGCATTAGTGTTACCGTGTCCTGCTCCTCATGTTAAATGTTGCGGTGTGTGTGTGTGTGTGTTTGCAGTCGCTTCATCCGTGCGGACACTAAAGACTGTGAGGACTCCAGCTCCCCCAAACACCACCCCATCAACGGCAGCGCCACCAACGGGACAGCAGAGGACTGTTCGCCCAGTAAGCCTGCTGAGTACAGCGCTGTACAGCACAGCCAATCAGAGCACAGAGCAGACGTCAGTATGCAGATCTCTGTGTGTTCAGACGCTAGCTGTGTTTCTGTTTCACTGCTTTCATCTGGGTTTGGGAATATCCAGCAGGGAGTTCTCTCAGAATAAAGGCGGACAGGTTCATCAGCAGCACTGCTGTAGCACACTGAAGGGGTTATTCTGGGAAAACAACCGTCTGGATGTGCTTTATCCTGATTATTACGCACATACTGGACACCCTGAGGCTGATCCTCAGCTCCTGCATGAGTCTGTGTTGTTCAGCGGGTGTTATCTGGGAATATCAGACACGGGGATCTCTCGACTGACCAAGTGTGTCCGCAGGTGAGATGGAGACGGACGAGCCGGACGATGAGCTCAGTGTGGAGCAGGGTGTGTCCTCGGAGAGCGACAGCAGCAGTCTGGCTGAGGAGCAGAAGCTGGAGAACGGACCCTCACTGCTGGAGCCCTGCAGGAGACTCTTCAGCCTGCAGATCACCAACATGGGCAAGACTGACGGAGGAGCCCTGCTGACGGGGGAGCCCCACGCACAAATACATTTCCAGGAGGAGCGTCTCAGCGGTGAGAGAGAGAGAGAGAGAGAGAGAGAGAGAGAGGGAGAGTGTGTGTGTGTGTGTGTGTGTGTGTGTGTGTGTGTGTGTGTGTGTGTGTGTGTTCACTCATGTGTGTGTTCTGCTCTCCCGCAGACAGATGTTACCTGTCCTTAGTCTGGGAGCCGGAGATGAAGAGGAGCTTCTTCAACGAGGCGGCGGTCGAGGTGTGTGTCCTGCTGTGTGTGTGTCTCTCCTGCTGTGTGTGTGTGTGTCCTCATAGCCCACTGATCTGTGTGTCCCCACAGGACTTCGAAAAGCACCACAGTATGGACTACAAGCCCCAGAAGAAGATGAGCTGCCGGCTGAGGGACTGCATACAGCTCTTCACCACCAAGGAGAAACTGGGCGCCGACGACCCCTGGTGGGTGACACGCACACATAAACACTCACAGATGCACACTCTTCTCACACACACTGCTCACACACTTTACACAGATACTCATGTCATATGGGAGTCCTGAAATCAGCGGTCCTGAATAAGACACAAGCAGGAGAATCACAGTAGAGCAGGTTACATTCAGTCTGATATGGTCATGCAGTTGTGTGTGTGTGTGTCTGTGTGTGTGTGTGTGTGTGTGTGTGTGTGTGTGTGTGTGTGTGTGTGTGTGTGTGTGTGTGTGCTTCAGGTACTGCCCCAGCTGTAAGCAGCATCAGCAGGCCACTAAGCAGCTGGACCTGTGGAGTCTGCCGCCGGTGCTGGTGGTCCATCTGAAGCGCTTCTCCTACAGCAGATACATGAGGGACAAGCTGGACACACTGGTGGAGTTCCCTCTGCGGTACACACACACACTCCTACAGCAGATACATGACAGATAGGCTGGACACACTGGTGGGTTCCCCCACACTCACACTGATGTCCTCTGTCTGTCTGCAGGGATCTGGACATGTCAGAGTTCCTCATCAATCCTCATGCCGGGGTCTGCCTCTACGACCTCATCGCCGTCTCCAACCACTATGGAGGGATGGGTGGAGGACACTGTGAGTAATCCTCTCGGGATCCTCTTGTATTCATATGATTTCCTCCACAGTATGGTTTGGGTGATGTAGATCAGTGAATGTTCTCACACATGCAGAGTGTTGGTCATGCTGATTCTGCTGTTCACTGTGTTTAATTGTGTCTAATATATCAAGCGTGTCCAACAGTATCTGTGTGTGATCGACAGACACTGCCTATGCCAAGAATGTGGAGGATGGCCAGTGGTACAGCTTTGATGACAGCAGTGTGTCGCCGGCCAGCGAGGAGCAGATCGTGGTGAGAAACCAACATCACTCATCAGCTCTTCAGTGTGGAGGAGTCAGAGCTCAGTGTCCGCTCAGCCCTGTGTCTCCCACAATACAGAGATGCAGAGTGTGTGTGTGTGGGTGCTGATGAGACCCGAGTGTGTGTGTGTGAGTGCTGATGAGACCCGTGTTCAGTGGTTCTCAGACTTGGCCCTGTAAACCTGTAAAATAATCTGGTGAATGAGAGCGTGGCCTCCGCTCCTACAGGCTGGGGGACGTCTCTCACTTACAAGCTGAACTGCAGAGCAGAGTGTCTGACCTCAGAGTGCTTGGAAGGGTACTAGCATGTGCTCTAACTGGGGACTTAGTAGTTCTACTAGACGACTAACCCCCACATGAGGTAAAACAGAGATACCTGGACAGGCGGGATTGAGAGGAACAGCCTCCCTGATCTGAATTTAAGTGTCGTGAGGAGCTGAAGGCCTGTGGTGCCTGTTGTGGCTTTAATCTACAAACCCAGTAGTGGACACTGGAAGTAAGGGACGACATAACGGGACCTGTCAGGCCAAGTGTGCTGCAGCCAGGGGAGCAGTTGCAGAAGCAGAAACTCAGGCCTGGGAACAGTTTGGGGCAGCCCTGGAGGAAGACTATTGGTCACCTCAGAGATTCTGCCAAACCGTCCAGTGCCTCAGGAGAGGAAAGCAGCTCCACACCAGCACTGCTGAGAGTGAATGAGGGCAGCTGTTGACCTTGAGTGAGTGAGGATGTTATCGGGGAATACTTTAAGTATCTCCTCAATCACACAGACATGTCGTCCATTGAGGAAGACATTAAGACTTGGAGTTTGACTCACCCATCACCCAACCTGAAGTCACCGAGGTAGTCTACAAGCTCTTAAGCCGGGGTATCTCAGATCTCTGGCTGTTATGGGACTATCTTGTCTGATACACCTCTACAACATCATGTAAAGTGTGTGGACGACGCCTCTGGACTGGGCAACTGGGGTGCCAGTTCCCATTTTTAAAGGGGGGCCAGAGTCTGAGTTTCTGCTATAGAGGAATCACACTGCTCAGCTTCCCTGGAAAACTCTCTGCCAGGATACTGGAGACGAGAATCTGGCCAATAAGTAGAGCCTTAAATTCTAAATGAGGAACATTGTAGATTTCTTCTAGACAAGGGGTGTCAAACTCAGTTCTTAGAGAGGCGAAGGCCTGCACAGTTTAGTTCCAACCCTGCTTCCACACACCCACCTGTCAGTCTCAAATAAGCCTGAAAGACTCGATTAGTTTGATCAGGGTTGGAACTAAACTTTGCAGAGCTGACAGAGTTTGACACCTGTGTTCTAGACTGTGGAACACTGGACTGGTTCTTTACTGTCTCTCTAGGGTGCTCAAGGGCTGATGGGACTTTGCCTGTCCAGTCCACGTGTGTTTTGTGGACTTTAAGGCATTCTGCCCTGTCCTTTGTGCTGTTCTGTGTGGTGTGCTCTGGGAGTATGGGGTCGGAGGAACTCCAGTCCCTGTATGAACTTGGCAGTAGTTTGGTTCACATTGCCGTCTGTGAGTCAGACTTGTTCCTAGTGTATGTTGGACTCTGACATGTGTAAGAGTGCTGAATTTGCATGAGTGTGTGTGAGTGCTGGCAGGAGTGTGCGCTGAGCTCAGGACTGACCTCTTCTGTTTCTGTCTGTCTCTGTGTTCAGTCCAAGGCGGCGTATGTGCTCTTCTACCAGCGCCAGGACACAGTCAGAGGCACAGGCTACTTCGCTCTGGACCGAGAGCCTCCGGCCGAGAAGGAAGAGGAGGAGGAGGATGAAGATGAGGAGGATGTGAATGACAGCGAGCAGGAGGAGGACCTGCAGCCCAGCCCAGACGTGTCCATGAGCACCAGCTGAGCTCCAGCGCTCCTCTACAGCCATACCAGCACTGAACACCTGCCCAGTGTACAGCCGGCGCGACTGACTCGAATGCAGGGTTCAGCCGGCCGAGCGGATCTGTGTGTGTGTGTGTGTGTCTGTTCACGTTCTGTATTTGTGCACGAGTGAAGGTGTTGACCAGGTGAATGTTCAGAATGTTCTTCTAATCGTGTAAACACTGCGGATGCAGAGTTCTGGTTCAGTCTCTCCGTGTGTTTAGCTGTTAGCGTGTCTGCTAAGCTCTCCATCTGCGGTGTTTGGACAGATGAATGTGCCACATGATGCCGTCTGCTGGATGAGGGATCTCCCGGTGCGGCGGCGATGCCTTTCTCTCAGATTTTCCTTCACCTCAGCCTTAACGGTCCTCTCAGACTGCTGCGTTTGCACACATCTCTCTGCCCGTCAGTCTGGAGCCGGAGACTCTGAGCGGCTCGTGAAGCTGATGGAGGACGGTGTTCGCCGGTCTCCTCCTCCATCTCCTTCTGGCCTTCAGGTTGATGAGTGTCCTCCTGTCTCGGACTGCGCAGGCTGATGAACACTGTACAGCAGAAGAGTCACTCTGTGAGTGCACGTCTGGTTATCTATTTATTTATTGCACTGGAGGGCAGGATATGCACTGAATGCGTCTGGGCTCGAGGCCTCCTCCGGGAACCTCCTGTGGGCTTTTGTAAATGAACTGATGTCCTTGCATGACCCGGGGACGTCCTTACGCTGCACTCCAGTTCACTTTGGTTTACATTTGAGATGTGCATGTGTGTTTAAAGACTGACCTAATAAACCTGGACTTAAGTTAAGCCCTGTGTAGTGTCTGTGTCTCCTGCTGGAGTCTCCTCTGGAGTGTGTTCATCAGTCATTTCTCAATCCTGGTCTTCACACATTTTGTTTATGTCATCGTATTGACTGTTTTCAGGTTTGTAGCTTAATAAAGATTAAACACATTCAGTATCAGGATCAGTTTAAGCCCTATATTCATCTCTGCTGAATGATGAGGGTGTTTTCTATAGGCCTCCTGATAAAGTGAAAGTAAAAGCTGTCCGGTCCAGCCTGTTTCACCAGAGTCCAGCAGATGTCTTGTTCTGACTGTTTGCTCTGCTGCATCTGTATGTTTACTCTACTGCCGTCTAGTGGACACTAGCAATAACACAACTCAACAGGACTGATGATAACAGATGTGTGTAGTGTCCAGAACACTCCCTACTGAAAAAAACAGCTTAAACCAGCCTAGGCTGATTGGCTGGTTTTAGCTGGTCGACCAGGCTGGTTTTAGAGGGGTTTTGGCCATTTCCAGCCTGGTTTCCAGCCATTTCCAGCCTGGTCTTAGCTGGTCAGGCTGGAAAATGACCAGCTAAAACCAGCTTGACCAGCCTATCCAGCCTGAAAGCCCAGCCAAAACCAGCTATATCCAGCTTAAACCAGGATGGGTAGGATGGTTTTAGCTGGATTTAGCTGGTCATTTTCCAGCCTGACCAGCTAAGACAAAACCAGCCTGGCCGACCAGTTAAAACCGTAACTACATTACTTTCACTTCCAGTCTGCTGTGTTTACATTCAGATGTTTCATTAAACTAATGCAGATTGACACTAACACTAATCAATCTAACTCTGTATTGTTGGGTTACTTCTGAAACATTTGATGAACCGAAATTTAATATAACACGTAATTTAATATGTTTGCAATGATAAGGGACGATATAAGTTAGCAGTGAGCATACTGAGGAAGCCACAGTCGAGTATAATCAATCTAAACGGAGTAAATGTAACGTTATTAGTTGTGTATCTGTTGTGTCCCTGTGCTGATGTTGTACTCAGCGTGTTTTATGCTTAAAGTGTTTAAAGCTGTAAACACACTTGTGAGCAGAATACATTTGTCTAAAACGTTATCTTGTAAAGTTGTGTTGAGAATGTGTGCTTCCATCTCCTCTGTCCTCGTAAAGTTTATGAACACAACAGCTTTCACAACCCCAAACACGCGGGAGACGCCTGGCAACAGACGCGTCATCAGGATTTAAGCGCCCGCAGTGTTGCCATGTCCACTGTTTATAAGTGCTGTTCGTGTATTTTAAGAGTATCTAAAGTGGTTATAAGCTGATAACGATGTATTGCTGTTAGTTTCTGTGTTATTGTTAGTATTGTCAAGGTATTATGAACTTGTTCTTGTAAACTTTTCCTCCAATCTGGCAACACTAGTGACGGTTAACTCCTCTTTCCATGTTAAACCTCTGCAGTTGAGTTCATTGAAGCATTTCCAAACACCTGCTGCTCAATATAGTAATTACTGCAGTCTTATTTTATAAAGAATTCTATTTTCATTATTATTACATAGTGATCAGATGTGTTGACATCCATTATCTCTGACTTCTCTGTTGTGTCTGCAGAGTGTTTGTGATGGGCTTTTTACCGGGATCTGGCAACCCGGGTATTTCCGCATTCTTCAGAAATGAAAGTGAAAGCAGAGTTATCGCCGCCATTTTAGACACGTCTAAAGTCCGTTGTCTGGAAAGCGGGAAATCTTTATTGTGTACTATATTGTGTAATATAAACGCGCTGAAAGGATTCAAGGACGCGTGTGGGGTTTATCTGAGGCGGTATGTATGATGTGTGTTGATGGCTGTAATCCTTCATTAGTTTACTGAAGCTCGTGATGTGAGTGTGTACAGCTGCTGATCTATTCTGCTGAATGATGAAGGCTGATCAATGACTGCACATCTGTGATTGTTTCTCAGTGTCTGCTAGAGTTTCTGCTGGACATCACACTCTACACATCCATCATGGAGGACACACACTCTTCTGGAAGCAGCAGGTATGAGTCCTGCACTACACAGCGCGCTGAACTGACGGAGCTCCAGACTGACGCAGTTGCTTTTCCGCTAGGGTTAGGCCTGTCATGTAGACGAGAGCTCAAAACACACATCAGAAGTTTGTTTCTTTTGTTTGTTTGGTTTTTGCCTTCTCTTTAAGTGACTTAGTTCAAGAGAAGACATCTCACAACAATTATGAACAAAATAAAATGAGAGAGAACTTATCTTAGCTATACTATCAAAGTATGAACAGATGGCAGGAGTAAAAAGACGAATAGGGCAGATAATAATTATAATAAAGAACATGTAGTCAGTCAAATGAAATGTACATAACGCTTCATATGTGTGTTTAGCTTTTCTGTTTCTAATGTTGCTCACTGTAGTGCCATATTGTTTAATCTCCTTTATAAAAGGTTCATTTTGGCTTCACTTTGGCCCATTTCCTGTCATGAATATGGTATTTTCCCAGTAATATTATTAGCTGTACAGGAACATAAGTGGTACTTTTTAATCATTTCCATCTTGTACTAAAGCAAACATGACGTCATATAATCTAATGTGTATTAGTCTACCAAATTAAATAAAGTTAGACACATTAATCCAGAATAATGTTGAGTATAAAAAACAGATTCTCTAATAATACCACACAAATCACAAGAGCTCTCTCTGTCCACCTCAAACCGTTCATATAACTCTTACAGGATAACTCTGTGTACAAGATACCTGCCTTTATTACTTATGAAGAGTTTATTATTTATTAGCCACACTTTCCTCCACTCGATGTGACTGTTGAAGATGGTATCTGATCTGTTTTAATACATTATAATATATCCATTACTACATTTATCTTCATCAATATTAATATCACCAATATATAAAACATCAGCACTTGTCTGTGGCTCGTGGTCCACATTGTACAGAATTACGCAACAGGGATACAACTTTACCTGCTATTGCATCAATAATAACAGCAGAGTCTTTTGGTTTTACAGGAACTCTACACTTTTTAAAGGAATTCAAGTAATTGAGTGTAAATAATCCATCATCATACCATGACTGAATAAATATAGACTTCCTCTTGTATAAGATACCTCGATTATTCCACAGAAGATACAGATGTGGTGTAAAATCATGTTTATAGACCCACTGTCATGCCAGTAATGCCCGCTTATGGAAATGTAATTGGGATTTTATCAATAGAGAAGTTAAATTTCAAAGGGAAATGTATGATATGCTGCAGAGACACTCGGGCTCCAGCTGCAGCTCCTCCTCCTATAAGCTGTTTGAATGCCCTCCTCTAACCCCAACCCCCCCAATGACATCACTAGTAGAAGAAGTGCAGCAAGGCGGAGCTGGAGCTCAAACTCTCCCTGATGCTGGAGCTCAAACTCTCCCTGATGCTGGAGCTCAAACTCTCCCCGATGCTGGAGCTCAGCTCTGCTCATGCTGCTCTGCAGTGAGCACTTAAAATTCATAAAGAGTCACTCAAAGAGTTAAATATAACGTTTGGAAAGATATGCCACACACTTTCTTTATTTTTAATGTGTTCAATTATCCATTTTATCTTAAATACGTCGTTGAGATCCGTCAAATTGAACACTTTAAGGCCCCCAAAGTCTTTGCTCTTATATAAAATTCGCAATTCCTTAACAACACCATTGACATTAACATGTATACAGAGTTTGATATTCCTTCTGCATTAGACAGCAACACACCACCATATAAGGACAGATCTCTCATTAATCACGTGTTATATCTGTTTTGGATCTTTTCAACGGTGGGCTTACACTTTAATTCATTTCTTTGCTTCAAATCCTTATGTATTATTACACCAATGTACAGTTGAAGTCAGCATTATTCACTCCCTGTTTATTTATTCTCCAATGTCTGTTTATCAGAGAGCAGATTTCTCCAACACATTTCTGCACATAACAGTGTTAATAACTCATCTCTAATCACTGATTTATTTCCTCTTCATCATGATGACAGTAAATAATATTAGTCTAGATATTCTTCAAGACACTTCTATACAGCTTAAAGTGACATGTAAAGGCTTCACTAGGGTAATTAGGGTAAAGTTAGGGTAATTAGGCAAGTCATTGTATAACAGTGGTTTATTCTGGAGACTATCTGAAACTAATATAGCTTAAAGGGGCGAATAATATTGAGCTTAAAATGGTGTTTAAACAATTAAAAACTGCTTTTATTCTAGCCCAAATAAAACTAATCAGACTTTCTCCAGAAGAACAAACATTATCAGACATACTGTGAACATTTCCTCAACCTGTTCAACATCATCTGGTGAATATTTAAACAGAAAAAGAAATTCAAAGGGGGGCTTTAAGTGTATGTGACAGTGTGTTTAATTTATTTTAAGGGACAGTCTTTAATAGCGAATGAAACCCAGTTCCTCTTATTCCTCTTTAATCCAGAGACCTCAGAAAACTCAACATAATTACTAACACTCGTCACTTCTTTACCAGTTTTGATGAAGACTGTAGTGTCATCAGCTAATGGACTGAGTTTAGTTTCTGTCAAACACTGAAATTCTTTGAAAATGAGAGTTTTAAATATGAGTAGCCATTATTGCGCAACTAATAAAAAAGAACAGATGTTATAGGGCGTCCTTGCCGGATCCCACGGCTCATTTAAACCCCGTGAGAGAACTGGATGAGCTGCTGCAGCCTTTATAAAGAGTTGAATTGCATTTAGGAAAAATAGCAAAGCCAGAAAATTCATCATAGAGTGTTCAGCAGTGTCAAATGCTTTATAAAAGTCAATAATTAACATTAAACTGTCCTCTAGTATGAAATAGTTATAGTCAGTTAGGTCAGGAATTACTCTACTGTTATTCCCAATAAGCCGTCTCTTCAGAAAGCCTGATCGTTCTCGGTCAATGATCATATTTAAAGATGTTTAATTATTTGTCCAATATCAGAGTAAATGTTGGTGTCAGCTGTTTCCACACACCTATTGTAATGCTCATGTTGGAGATGT